GAGATACTTTTCGATAACGGGCTTTAGGATGCAAACTATTGATCACAGCAGCCCTAAAAAATTATTGTGAATGTTATTGTCAAATTATTGTCAAAAAGAAAAGGATTTTATAAAGAATTACTGTGAATTACTACCCAAAAGATTATTTGGAAAATAGTTTTGTAACAAACAATAACACAAAATGTTAAATGTTAAAAAGATTTAAGATTACTTTATAATGATTAAGAAATGTTAAAAACATTTAAAATTAATTAAACTTAACTTACTGCCACTCTTCCTCACGGGGTGTATCATTAAATAAGAAAGCTTCTTTACTCAAATCCAGCTCTTGAAACCCAATAGCATAAATGTCTGGTGGTTCAGGATCTCCAGCCAACCAATCATGAAGAGAAACTGTCGGTGGTTGTCCATTTACATTCCAGGTACCAATAAATATCCTATAATACAATTATACTTCTTATAGCTATTAAAGACTGCCAACACCTACTAAAATATTAAAATTGCACGCAATAAACAATGAATAATTATGACAAAATTTTTACTTGATTTTCTTTACTATTTGTACCTTAAGTTAGAATGCAATCCATTTCAACTTGTGCAATTTTTCACTTAAAAAAAAATTCTTATTTCTGAGGATGTTTCAAATAGATAATAAAGAAAAAAAAGAAAAAAAAGTGATCTGCTATCCAGCCCAAATTACAATTTTTTTATGCCAAATTTTATGATTGCAGGAAATGCACGAACAGGCATTTCAGATCTGATACATTCAATTTATTCATCAAGTTATCACTTTTGATGTTTAAGACAAACGTCAATGGCCAATGAAAAAAGCACTATAAAGGAAGTCTTTACAGAACGACCACCATTTTATAAATAGTACGCTTATTACATTAAAAAACTGATTAATTCAAAAAATAAAAATAAAAAAATTATTCAACAAAAACTTAAGAGAAACTAAATTCTTAGCAACAAAATCAAATGTTTGTTTTCTGTTTCGAGCCAAACTTATCAAGTAAAAGGTGTTCTCTTGAATGAAAAAATTAATATTTTCTACCTAATTTTAAAAGAATGAGGCAGTAGGTACCTTGAGTGGCAAGGGAGAAGAAGGGTTAAATTTTTTTTAAAAAAATTTAAGTTTTCTGTTCAGTTTCTGCATTTTCTGAACAGTACAGAAAGAAAACTCTCCTTATGATCCAAAAAGGAACTTAATATTTTTTATTTGCACATAAAAAGTAAAATCCAAATAGTTATTTGGCCATCCATCCAACGATCAAATACAAAATATTCTTAGTTCTACTTCAATGAGGGGAACAATCTCAATATTTATACTTTGATGTTTTTACGATGATGTCTCAATATCACCCATGAAAAAGGGAAGGCAGACTCCAATAAGAAGCTGGAACATCACCACAGCTCTCACTTCCACGGCGCCCCATTGGAGTCTGCGACCTTGAGACACCACATTAAAAAAGAAATCGAAGTATAACTTACATTACAAACGATATAATCACGAAAAATTTATTTAATACAGTGAAAACTCAATACAACGGACTTTAGTATAACGGACTTCAGTGTAACATACATTTCACTTTTATGTATCTATTTGAAATCCCCATTTCAGTGCCCTATGTTACAATGAAAAGATATTTTAATTTCAGTAGTATGTAGGAAAAATGCACAGATTAATATTTTAAAATATATTTTAATTCTTATTGCATCAGCTGTTGTGCCCAAATTTTCTGGAATATATGTTTCATAACGTTTCCTTTAAGGTTATGCTCATTGTATGCAACGAGCATTGAATCTCATATTCATGACAGTCAATCAAATTCATGAAAAGGAGACCTATTTTGCCATAATCACTGCAGATTGAAGCAGTGGATCTGGATCATGTGATGGGCGACCCCAACTTTTTCTGTATCAAATATTATGACCAGGAAATTCATTTCACATTTTGTTAATTGTATTGAACGCTTTGTGGCAAATACATGTGTTCTGGTGGTATGTTTTCTTGTAGTTAGTAGTGATATTCATAAAAATTGCCATCTGACATTATGTAACTTTCTCTATACAATGCATATCACTCTGTATATATGTACATTTAAGGCAAAGAAAAAAAATGTAAAAGGCAAAGAAAAAAATTCTAAAAATGTATGGACAATCGGTGATATGTCCCGACTGAAAGAAAATTTTTCAGGAGATTTTCATAAAGTAGAAGAGGCAGTACACATGCGGTTTAAGGAAGTTAGGTCTAATGAGGTTCCTGTTTCTGAATCAGTGATACAAGAAGAAGTAAAACAATTTACAGAACTAATGGATGTTAAGGATTTTCAGGCAAGTATTGGCTGGTTGTTTCATTTTCGCGAGCGATATAGCAAAACTTGGAAGACTGTTGTCGGGGAAGCTGAAGATGCTGACATCAAAGCTGCGCGAGAGTGGAAAGAACATCACCAGAGAAATGTAACTGAAATGTTTGATTCAAAAGATATTTTCAATGCAAATGAAACAGCTTTGTTTTGGTCATATCTTACTGAATAAAACAATGTCTTATAAGGGAGAGAAATGTGTAGATGGAAAGCAGCCAAAAAAAAACATTAACTGTGTTATTTTGCTGTAATGTCACTGGTATTGATAATTTGAAGCCTATGGTTGTAAGACATTGCATACAACCAACAAGAAAGCATGGATGACCAAAGAACTTTTTGCAGACTGGCTTCTTGAGTTGGACAAAGTTATTGGAAAACGGAAAAGAAAAACTCCTTGGTTGATAGATAAAAGCTCTGCTCATAAAGTGAACTGCAAGTTGGAAAATATCAATACTGAATTCTTCCTTCCCAACAGCACCTCTGCATGGGAACCCCTTGATCAGAGAATATTCATAATGCAAAGGTCTTTTTTTGTAAACGACTTGTTCTGCATATTCTAATCAACCTTAGATTGAAAGTTTCAACCAAAATCAACGTTAGCAGGGGCTTGGTGGAATGTGAAAGCGACAATTGCCAATTGAAAAAAGTCAGGAAATTTGGATTTCCAAGACTGCACTTCACCTGAGGCTGAGGCTCATAAAGATCAGTGTGGTGTATGGGAAAAAATGAGGAAGGAGTTAGAACTACCATTGTCTGTAAGATTCGAAGATTATGTCAATATTGATACTGGGACTGAAACAAGTTACTGCCTCACAGAGAGTGACATTGTTGATACTTTGACTAATTCACTAGAAGCTAATGAAGAAGAGGAGGAGGAGGAAGAAGAAGAAAAAAAGAAAAGATTGAAATGTGGCTTCAACAAACACACTGAAGTGTCTCCGGAGGTTAAAGTATATGTTCAGAAAAATATGATATTTTTAAGACAGTTCTCAAATCATCATTTGAGGGGCAACTTGCTCAAAAAGAAAAAACTAACTTCCATCAGAGAATATTTTAATGAGTGATATGTATTTTTTTCATTATTTTGTTTGTTGGACAAACTAACTTATATTAGTTAAAATTGTGTTTCCAATACACAGTATTTTACAGCATACGTAATAAATAAAATGATTTTTCTATGTACTTTATACCGAGATTTCACTGTAGATGTTCAAATGTTGAATTTTAAATACCAAAGTTACACATCACATACATCCAAATCCCATTTATTTAAACATACCTCAATACTTGTGTGTATGTGTAATGATGTTCTTTCATTGCCATTTGGTACCGAATTACACTTTCTCGAGCTGCAATAGGAGTTGTTCCTTTGGCAATACTCTGTCTGGGAACTGTTATATCAGCGCACTCGAGATCCAGCAGCTTCAAACAAAAAAAATACATTGTTGTTCATTTCTAAAATACAATATTTACGTAATTGGGTTGACTAATTATATTTCATATGAAATTCATAAAGAAATAATTTTAGATTCATTTCATTCAATTCATTAGATTCAATTTAAAAACACACACACACACACACCAAAGATTTTGAAAATCTGTTGCATTAAAAACTATGTAGTAGATGGCAATTTGTATTTCCTTAAATGCAAATTAATTTCTTAATCTGATATCAGAAAGACATTCATTGGATATTTCAAATATGTTTAAAATTATATCAACTCTTCTTTATATATTTATTTTTCCTCTTCTCACCTCTTCTTTATTCTTTTTATATTTTAAAACTTCACAAAAGTAATACATTATATTCTTTAACTTCAATGTCTAATCTACATTAAGAAAATATTATATCATATATGAATTGTGGTTTTCAAAAATAAAATAAAATATGAAACTGAAAAAATTGAGATTTTTAAACACCTGAAAAGTAAAATAAATAAGAGAACAATGCTATGATATTGTAATGATCAATTTTCTTACAGTACTACTAAGAGAATCATCCTGTTGTTCTTCACTCTGTTGAAGAGCTTCACTCTCCACTTCAGCAAGGCTACTCTCTGGTAACATATCCCGACTCATATTGCCAGTGTATTTTTGCAACCAATGAAAATCTGGAGGTGGTCCTCGCCGCTTTGTAAATACTGAAAAAAATATTAAAACAGAATATTACAACCGAAAACTGAAATTAAATTACAGTTGATGTATGAATGTTCAAATTACCTTCAATTGCTCTGAATATTTCTCCCACAAAATTGCTAGTTTTCACACCAGGCACTAATTCAAAAAGTAACTTGAGTTTTCGTGAAGAGATATTAACATATACATCTACTCCGTCTTGATGTTTACTATCAGGGTCTGCAATAATTTAAACTCGTAAAAGATCAGGATTCTCAATCAAACAAATCAATATATCACAGTTCCCTATTTTTATGTGAAATAATGATAGATTTCAAGAACCAACATTTTGTGTAAATAAAAATGTAAACTCTTAAACTTCTCTAATGAACAATTCTATCTCCTAAAAGATTGAGAAAAAGCCTTCAAATATCTTTTAAAAAAATTGTACCCAATGAAAGTATGAAATCAATTTAAAGAAATTTGAATCACATACATCAATTTAAGCAAAATACCCACCAATTTCACAGCGGAAATCGGCGTCTATGGGAAGCAGTCGCTCTATTGTCAAATCAGAAAATGTTTGAGGAGGAACCCTTGAGCTCAGGAAGACAAAAAGGACATGGTGTCCATCATGCTCAACAAGAGCAAGCACTCTGGAAGCACGCACCCATCCTTGCATTAAGCTGGCTTCATGTACATGCTTTAAGTTAAGGAACAGTAGCAGATTGAAAACATGCTGTTAGAAAAGCGTAAGTGTATAATGCAATGTACATTTTGAAAATTCATTAATTTCACCTATCATTATAAAGCATTTTCTACACAAATTAAACTAGGATTTAGATAATTTACAATTGATTCTTTATTTTAAATAGTTGGTACACTTTTATGCAATACTCAAACCTCTACCACCAGCATTTAAGTATATGGTATATAAACTATTTATTGTAATCAACAATTTGTTGATGCTATTTCTTCTTTATATCTAATTTGAAAATCAACTTTGAAATTAAAGAACATGTATTTTTAGATTTTATTAAATTCTCATGCAAATATAAATCGTGTTCATCTCGAATCATAAAATTAACATGAACAAATTAATCTTTTTCATCATTTACATAATTAACTTTAAAATTCTCAAAATAGTTTTACATATAATAAAAAGAAATCCCATGCAAAATTGTTGTTAAAAAAGGATTCTGCAATGGCATTCTCTCCTGTCGCAAGTTTGGCCTGCACAATTCCTTGCTGGTCAACATTCGTCATGATGTACACTTCAGCTGTTGAGATGTTCTCAATCAGCACTCTGCCTCACTTTTGTGACAATACAGAACCTGTCTACAATAGAAATATGGACTTGTACCACTTTATAGTTAAACAGCAAAATAAACAGGTTGTTAGTGAATGACAGATAAAACAGTATTAAGGAAAAATTATTTCACTGAAGCACTTGTACCAACCAAGTCACTGTTTACTTCACAAAATGCCAGAAAAAATACATGTAAAAATCAGTGAATTAATGTGACAAATGCACTTTAAAATGCAAAGGTGAGGAAAAAGAATTATTTACAAGCTTTTGGCAAAAGCAGGTGAAGAAATAAAACTAGAGAAACTGAAAGAGTACATATGATGTAACAGAAAATGTTACTAATTGAGAAGGTGGCAAAAGATCTTCGCCGGCAGTATTATCATCTATAAAATTAAAGGTTATAAATATTGTACATCTACTCCCGCGCATACGTAACGAAACAAAATAAATCCAAGGAAGAAATTGTCAGGGTCATTTGACGTCAAGCAAAAACACTCATAAAATTGATAGACATACCTTCTTTCTTTTCATACATACACTGAGAATTTCAGAATACACTCGTCACTCTCCATCTCGGGACATATAACGACTGTAATATATCTTTAAAATAAACTGGAGTAATCCCGCTTGCCGACAACAAACATTGATCCATTTCTTGTTAGTGTATGTGTGAGCGTGTGTGCCAACCAGGTGCGAACTGGTGCGAACCTGGAGCCGAAGCCACCCGAATCCACGAAGTATCGAGGCCTCTCAGCAGAGGGCTCAAGCGGCGCGTGCAAAGACGTGCCCTGGACGTACCACAAATCTCGTTAGGTATTAGAGTGTAGCTTTTGTTAAGAGAATTTCCTGATGTTCGCCACTCTAGTAAAGTTTATGCTGGCGACGGTTCTGCCCTCGTTCTACTTCATTCATTATGACCTTCACACACATTGCAACATTCGCGGTGCCACAGTGGCACCGGAAGGCGTGACCACTAGCACAGTATGGATCAGCGGATATATAGGTACGGATACGGATACTATAGAACCAATGTTGCTTGTCCAATGATTCAGAAGATATCAGTTGTTGAAAAGGCGCATACTTTTGAACCGCGCAGACGCTCCATAATATTCGATCAAAAAATGCGAACTATTCAGCGCACGAAACATGTATGTCGTGATGAAAGGAGTATCTGAAACTGGGAAGCATCTTTCCGAAAACGTTTTGTAAAAGAAAGTGATATTGCTCATTGACAAACGCGGTTTTATTAATAGTAATGATGAAACGATCAAAAGATATGCAAAGGTCTCACAAATTAATGAGAGCAATATATGCTTGTATATTTAACGCCAATAACTGTTAAAAATATGCGTGACGTACTATGGAGAGAGTGCAAACTACGCGCGTTTTCTTGAGGTCTGGTATCCCTACCTACTCATATAGAAAGATTTACGTACGGAATGAATACAGATTTTTGGGAAAAATTAATAAGAAAAGATCACTCCCGTGTAATAAAACTATATACTACGGCAAATTAGCAATAGATTTTGGCTATTAACCTTTATCGTGCACTGTGAGAAAGAATCGACTTCCTGCCGCAAGAACAAGGAGAAAAAGTTAATTCCCCACTGAACTCGAAAAATCATGCACCAATAATGAAGCTACATTTATGACCAGAAGGAAAACAAGGGATCTCAGCATTTGCTTAAAGGTTTATGGAAACTGGACAAAACAAGTGGTGCTACAATAGGGGCCAGTCGATCATTTTTCGGGGGGAGGACATAATAGATTTTTTTTTCTAAATAACAAACATATTTGTTATTATATTGTATATTTATGTACGGTAGATACGATACTATACAACATTATTGTTTAAATAATTATGTAATACGAATATAAATAAATATTTAAATCAATTTGGCCAAATAAAGGAAGGTAAACGAACGCTGTGGCCTTTGGGGGGGTCATGGCCCCCTGGATCCGCCAGAATACTATTACACTACATACTTTGTCGCATTATTTTTAAATTTGCAATTTTCGAAAATTCAGAGAGATCAACGAAAATGAGACCCACGCCATTCTTTTAAGCGTCCCTTCTTCCATCAGTGAAAAAAAATAATGGAGCTGTTTTTGACAATATATGGTTCTTTTGTTTTGTAAATTGCATTAATTTTAAGCACAAACTACACTGAATCTACTCGTTTCTTCAAAAATTTTCACATTTTTAAAGAGCTTATGTTTTTAAAAAAAAACAGGCTTTGTATAAGGCAAAATCCTCAATTTTTAGTTTTGAAATGATAACTTTTGGCAATTTTCGAAATAAACATGCCGACTTTTTGAATTTGCATATATGCAGCTTTAATAGATTCCAGGCGAATGCCGGTCGGGTCTCGCCCACACGTATGCGAGCAGTAGACTTGCCTGAGCTTCGACCCCAGGCCGTTCGCCGAAAACGGGACTAGAAGCATATTTTTTACCGACACATTTGAGAAGAATTTTTTAAAGAAAAAGCGGTATTTGAAAAAAATAAGTTTAAAAAAAATTAAAATTGCCTATATTTTGCAAAAATTACTCGATAACTGCTCGTATTTTCGAAAAATTGAATATAATTTTATTTCAAAATCTGTCTTTAAAGAGCAAATTTGTTTAAGGAAAAAATCTCTTTCTTCAATATTATAGTTGTAGGAAGACGCCCAAAAAATTGCACTTTTGCAATTTTCGAAAAAGCTGGGATTTAACCATCATGAGACCCCACTCTCTTAAGCATTCCTTACGCTATGCGAGGACAAAAGTAATCCTACAATTTGGAGCCATGTTTGAAAAAATTTTGAAATTTTTTTAGGCGTCATATAAAGTACCTTCAAAAACCATAACGTCCTGTTAAAACACCCAAAACCTTGACTTTCTTCATGTCGATCGGAGGCTACCAAATTTGGAGAAAATTGGCTGAACAGTTACCGCTAGCGTTAACCACAGACGGACAGAGACGTTTTGACGTTAATCGATTTTTCGATACGAAGAATCCACAAAATATGGATTGTAGTTGTACCACGTGTGAGAGGAGGTAATTTACTATATATAAGTACAGGGTTTATCCACTTCTCCGTTACCAGATTCCGCCAATAAGATTTTCTGCCGTAATTTCGTCGATTTCCAGCGCACGATTAAATAACTTTATCTTATTATGACGAAAGTACAAGAGTGTAAAATCTGATCGAGATGGGGAATAGGCCCAGATGCTGAGGTACAATTCGTGCCACAGGAATATTTACTATTTTAGAATTGAACAGTATATATGGTAAATAATACGTAAAATATTGTTAAAATAAATATTATTACTTTATCGTTTGCGTATATACGGAGTAATATACAGAAGATATTGGTACTACAACAGCACGTACTTGTCGCGATATTGTTAATGGTTATGTCTTACACTTCAAATACCATTTAATGAATTCTTAAACAAACGAACAGTGAAAAATACATGTATCTTTTTAGATTCAAATGTTTAAACACACAGCTTTATGTCATTGAATTTAGTGTATTCACATTCTACATACATGTACTAACGATGTACGATGCGTACTGTCGGCGTAAATAAAATTATTAGTTTATATTAAAGAGAACGAAAGGCTGTCGTCGTTGTCGCCTTTTGTTATCAGTGCGACAATACAACAATGGGTTGCAATAAGGAACAATGTCCGCTAATTCGTATGGGATACACATTTTGCAAATTAGCATTCTAGATACTGCTTGCATGAAAATGAAAATGGATAGAAAAATATAATAAGTAAATATAATATTTTTATATTCATCAAAACTACTCGGTTTTCACACGCATTACTCTTCATTTCCACATCTTATTATGCAAAGCAAAACTATCTATTTGTTTTCACATTAACTCAGTTAAAAGACGCAATTTAAAATATGTTTTACATAGTTTATAAAAGATCAATTGGTAACCGCATAACAAAAGCTCGAATGTAAGAAATGAACAAAGAAATATGAAATACAATACAAAATCTAACTTACGTAGCATCCAACTTGTCTGTATGTTCACGAAGCGGACGGGTGACTATGTTTGTCGACAAATAACACAAAAAAATACTCTTTTTTTTTTAATTCAACATGTCCTTATTTGAAGATCTGGTTTCGATGAACACATTTCATTGAGAAAAAATGCATCTTCATAATTGCAGTTGTAGGAAGACGTCGATTTGAAAAAAAGATATTTTAACGAATGTGAGACTTGCACAATTCTCTTAAGAGTTCTTTACGGTATTTTAACTGAGGCTCAAATTTAATCATAAATTTGTTCCATTTTTCGGGAAAACATTGTTTAAATAAAATAAAAGTTGCCTTTGACACAAAATTTCGTGCAAAATATTCATGCTTTCAAAAAATCGAACATGACATATTTTTGGATCTGTTTATCATGAACACATGTCATT